TACAACCATTTGAGATTACCATGGCACTGAAAAAAGTGACTTGTCCTCATATTTACAACTGTTGCAGCACCCCATGGTCATTTGATCAAAATTCAGGTGCTTGGTAACTACTGTAGCATGTATTCACAATGGTTGCAGATTCCCAGTGTCAAGTTATCACTATTTGCAACCCAGCTTTCGACAAAGTGAAGCTGGATTTGCTTAACAACTACATGATTCGCTTAACAATTGAAGCGATCCAGTTAACAACTGTGGCAAATAAGATCATAAAATAGATGTTACTCATTTAACAACTGTCTTGCTTAGCAATGGAAATTCTGGTCCTAATTGTGGTCATAGGTTAAGGACTACCCCAGAGGTGGTATTCAGCAGGTTCTGACCAGTTCTCGAGAACTGGTAGCGGAAATTCTGAGTAGTTTGGAGAACTGGCTAATACCATCTCTGACTGGAGATTTTACAGTATCCTTCCTCTGCCATGCCCACAGAACTGATAGTAAAAAATTTTGAATCCCACCCCTGGTCTACCCATATCTAAATAGATGTATGGAGAAATCTTTAAAGATTAAAGATGTGTGATGTTGAAGGATGTAACAAAACTCTGGAATTTGACTGTAAGAAATAAGGATTTACCACACATGGGTGGAAGCTAAAAGAATAATGTTGAGAAATTGGGTATTTTCCAGTATTATTCCAGATGTTAAAGATTGGCTTTTGAAATATGTAATTTATCCATTCTGGAGAAAGGCAGCATTTTCCACTAATCAAAAGATTAAGCAAATTCTTCCATGGTTTAGACTTTAGGATAATTTTAAAGTAACATTTTGTTACTGATTACTATAATATTATGTGGTACTTGAGTAAACCAGTAACTGTAAGCTTAATATATAAGACACACCTTTTTTGTTTGTTTCTCTCTCGCTTTTCTTTTTCTGGTTTTATATTTGTAAAGGATTGCTTAACAAAACTTTGTTATTGTGGTGTAAACAGCTATTTTGCCTATATTTTATCCTCTTATAAAATAATGAATGAAAAGAAACCCTCCCAGATTATCATCAATCAGATAGAGATTTCCTAACACAAGGAAGGAAGCTGGGGAAACAAAAACGTGTTTTATAATGTAACACAATATGTGGAAAAAGTTGAAAAGTAGGATTGCAAGTTTTTGGGACGATTAAGAAAAAGACCAGCACCATGAAAATAAGTTAACCTTCATTTATTGTACAACCCACTGAAAGAAAATTGCTTTTTGAAGTTTTCTTTTGAAGGAGAAGAAAGAGGATTTTGGTGGATAGAGCATGAAAATTCTGCTTAACTTTACAGATGTAAAAAAAACTCTGTGGAAATCAATAGCAGAGGATGAAGGAAGAGCAAAGCAAAGCCCACATTTGGCCCCAATAGTTGTTTTTTTAATTATTTTTTCATTTGTTTGTTTCTATCCCACCCTTATTATTTTGTACAAATAACTCAAGGCCCTGAACATATCCAGCATACCTTTCTCATGCTATTTTCCCCAAAACAACAATGCTGTGAGGTGGGCTGGGCTGAAAGAGAGAGTATGAGAGTGACTGGCCCGAAGTCACCCAGCCACCTTTCATGGTTAAGGCAGGACTTGAACTCAGAGTCTCCTGCTTTCTAGCCTGGTGTCTTAACCACTAGATCAAACTGGCATTCTTTCAGTCCTGGAACTAAACCTCTATTTCTTACACATAGAAATCCACTTTTCCACTAAACTTTCTGCAACTCAGCAGTTTAATGTAAAGAAGGGAGGCCCCTTGCCTGGTCCTGATTGCTGTTATTAAATCACAGGGAGCACATTTTCTTCCTGCTCCTTGCCTTCTGCCCAAATTACATCTGCAAAGACCTCGTTTCAATCTCCAACCGAAGACAATTTCACTAGGGGACAAGATCAGTTTTAAATTTGAACAACAGGATATAGTTACAAAGACCAAAGTACCAGATGACTTCACAGCCTTCAATTATGTTACATGAGAACCAGCTTGAGGTAAGGATTGTGAGTTCTAGTCCTGTTTTAGGCATGAAAGCTGGCTGGGTGACTTTAAGCCCAGGCGACTGTGATTTGATTTGATTTTTTTATTTGAATCCTACCTTTATTATTTTTACAAATAACTGAAGGCAGCAAACATCCAACACATCTTCCTCCTCCTATTTGCCCTACAATAACAATCCTGTGAGGAGGGTTGGGCTGAGAGAGAATGACAGGCCGAAAGTCACCCAGCTGGCTTTTATGCCAAACATGACTCTCAGTGTCTCACTTTCTGGCCTGGTACCTTAACCATTACACCAAACTGGGTTTCTAGTTCTAGGCTTGCCTTAGCCATGAAAGTCTCCTGGGTAATCGAGCCAATTTGGATCAATTACCCAGGAGACTGAGTTCTAGTGCTGCCTTAGGCATGACAGCTGGCTGGGTACCTCAATCAATCTCTCTCAACCCAATCCATTTCATAGGTTTGTTGAGGGGAAAATAAGAGGAGGAATGAGTATTAAGTATGTTTGTTGCCTTGAGTTACTTCTAAAGCAATAAAGGTAGGATAATAATCAAATAAATGTAGGCATGACAGGCACACACATCTATGACTCTACTGCATGCCAGCAACCTTGAAACAGCTGGAATAATATATTTTTGCTGGCTTTACTGCTCACTGCAAGCTTCAGAGGATTTGACTTTCTCCACTTAACATTCTTCCATTTATACCCAGTACTCTACTGCCCAGGGTCTTTATGTCTCCACAGTACTGTCCTTTGGCTTTCTTCTAAAAGTTAGGGGGAAAAAATCCTGTCCAAATCTTTGCACGAGGAACAGGTCTGTACAAGTGGCAGGCTGCTGCAAGACCCTGTATGCTTAACAGCTTGTAAATGTATTCATGTGCCAGCTTCAGCAAGTTCAGAGAAACCACCAACTTTAAACACGATAGCATCTGGGCAAAGAAAGCCTCTCCCACACTGGTTTTTTTTTTTTTTAAATCAAGCTTTTATGCCTTTGCCTACACAATCCTGCCAGCTGCTTAACCCAGCTATCCGCCCACCAGAGGATTAAGGGCACCAAACATACTTGACACAAAACAAGCAGCCGAGGTTTCTCCTGGCACATTAAAAGGATCCCTGCTATCAAAATTCATCCTTTCCCTCCCCCCCACCCCATCTCCTTTTACACCCACAGATGGATAAACACTGCCCACATTAGAAATATAGGAAGATCACAGCGAGGCATCTTGGGAGTTGTAGTTGCAGAGTGGCAAACAGGGCCAGGTTGGGAAGAATGGCCCTAGAGAGTCCTCCTTTAAACCCACCCCATTAGTGAAGGGTCTCACCAGCCAGCTTGCCTCCTGCACAACTCCAGAAGTGTGGTGGGGAGACAAAGCAGTAAATAGTAGCCTCTCATGAACTCACTCAGGCCACAGGCATTTAACACTTCTGCACTGTACCAGGTTTTGGAAGGTGTGATCCCTGAGAAATAAACCCCACCAAGTTAGCATCCTCTACAAGATGGCATCAATTCATTTGCTGGCCCTCCCACCGCCCCCTGCAAAAGTAGGGCAACTTTGAGCAAGGTCTTCTGAAGGTCATCAGTGGATTTCCACCTTGAGGGGTAGTTTGAACCAACTCCTCTTCCCAGCCCCAAATCCACACTTCAGGTTACAGTGGGCCTTTATTCAGGGCCCGGCTTAGCCAAGATGGATGTTTTTCTTGGGAGTGAGTTGCCAAGAACACCGCAAAGAGGTGGCTCCAAATAATAATCTAGCTGGCAGATCGCTTGCTCTTCTTGGCACAATTGCAACTCTTTTTATGCTTTTTATCTGCTCCCTTTTACGATCTGCTTTGCGCTGGCATCGGCAAGGCAGAGGCGCGATCCTTTGGCAGACACACCCACGCGGCTTCTTGCGCTCGCGCTTTGCTCCACCCACCCCGGCTGCAGCGACAATTGCACCACCTTTTGTGACCCTCTTAAATTGGGAGGTGGGGAAGCCGTGCAGGGAGAAGAGGCTCTGGATCCACGGGGAACAATCCAGAGCTAGATCTCCCTCCCCGCCCCGGGATTAAATTCCAACGGGGAGGCCCCCATTCCATCAGGCCACCCCGGATGGCCACTCCTCCTTCTCTTTCTCTCTCCGACCGTCCGGCGTAGGCAGCAGAGACCAGGCTCTGCCAACAAGAGTGGGCGAGATTTGAGCAGCCATCTCCAAGGGAACCTTTCCGAAGAGGCGGGGGCTCTAAGCCAGCCAGAAAGACCCTCCCCGTTTCCTTGCCGGGAAGCGGGGCGCACCAGGAAGGCAGAGTATGCAATTGGAAGCGCCCTAGTAAAAGCAACACCTCCAGGGCGCGCCTGTAATTCCTTCTAGGGTAGCCTGCTTTGGAACGCAGAGGCTCTACTGCGCCATCGGCAGCGCCATCACCTGCGAGCGCCCTCCGGCTAAAGACCCGCGCCGATCAGGAGGGGGCGGCCAAAGTCTCCCCTGCCTCCCTCCTCCCAATCCACTTTCGCTTTCGAGCTGCCCGGCCAAGCACGTGGGGCCAGCAAGGATCCCCATGGGGCGGGGGACGGCATCTTTCTTTCCTTGCCGGGGGTGGGAGGGGGAAGAGGAATCAAGAGAGGGTTGGGAGGCGAAAGCTTGTAGGTCCCCGTCCTCCCCGCCACGTCCCCCGAGCTTGAGAAGCAAGGGTGGTTAGGCAAGCGACCAGCCCTGCGAAACGCCTCCCTCCCGGACCGAGAGGAAATCCGTGCGCCAAAGCCGAGAGAGGCGCGGTCACCACGTGGGTGGAGACCGAGCGGGGAGGGGGTGAGGAAGCGGGAATGGGGGGGTGGGGTGGCCGCGAGGGCTCGAAGGATGAGGACTGAGAGGCGTTGGGTGGGGGGGGGGAGGGGAAGCGGTCCTGGAGGACTTCAAGGTACCCCCGTCGGGGGGTCTCCACCGGGAGCAACAGGGGAGGGACGCCGGATCCAATCCCGGGCACGGTTTGGCTTGGCTAGGTTAGGCTCTTACCGGTGTGCGTCCTGAGATGCGCCTTCAGATGCGAGGATTTGCCGTAGACCTTAATGCAGCCTTGGAAAGGGCACTGGTGCCTTTTGGCCGGGGAGATGGCCGAGAGGCTGGCGGGGCTGTCAGCGCCGGCTCTTCGGGGAAGCTCCCCCGCCTGCGGCAGGACCGGGACGCCGCTTCGCAGCTCGCTCCCTCCGGGCGATGAGGAGCAGCTCCCGCTGCTGTCCGAAAGCGCAGAGCCCGGGCGGCCCGGGTGACAGGCGCTGGGGAGGGAAGGGGGACGCCCTCCTCGCTCTTCTTTGACGCTGATGAGGCCGGAGGCCGGGTGGATCAAGGCCCCGCTGGAGATGGACATCAGGCACTCGGCGGCCAGATAATCCAAGCCTGACATGACGCGTCTCCAGAAGCGGGGAAGACGTCGTCGGGAGGCGCCTCTTTGGAAAAAACGGCTCCGGCCGGCTTCCCAAACCAAGATCGGACGCCCGGCCTCCCGATACCGCGGCTGGCTACACGGACGCGACTGCCTCGCCCTGGCGCAACGTGGAGACGGAAGGAAGGGTGGGGGAAAGAGAGACGCCTGCCTGGTCTCCGCCCAGCCGAGGAGCGTCAGGTTGGAGGGCAGCCGAGGCTGTGACCCTCCTCCCCGCCGAGTCTCCACCTTCCTGAGCGGGGGGGAAGAGCCGAGCGGGTGGCTTCGGGGGAGGAGAACGTCGGTTTAAGGCTGCTCAGCCTGGGCTGCAAACATTAAAAAATAAAAATAAAAAATCCGGACGAGCGCAGGAGGGCGCTGGAGATGCGCTCTGGGGTTGCTTGGTGGAAGCGAAAATCCCCATTCAAGGTTGTTATATTTTCCTAATTGGCTAAAATAATTCCTCTTTAAGGCTTGCAGGTGGTCTTCAAAATTGGAATGGTGGCGTCACGAAATTATAATACAATGGAGCTGGAAGGGACCCTGGAGGTCTTCTAGTCCAGCCCCCTGCTCAAGCAGGAGAATGTTTGCAATTGTAAATGCTTTAGTGAATAATTTGGTTGGATTGCAAAGGGACACGTGTCATAGAATTTATTTATTAAATTTGTTTGCTGCCTATCGATGTGGGGTTATCAAAAAGTGAGTTGGAAGGTACTCCAGAGATCATTTGGGAGAGAGAAATGAATTAGAAATGAATTGTCGTACAATAGTGTTTTTCACCTTGGAAACTTTAAAGATGGGTGGACTTTTAACTCCCAGAATTCCCTAGCAAGAGTGCTGGCTAGGGACTTCTGCAAGTTGAAGTTCACCCATCTTAAAGTTGCCAGGGTTGAAAAATATTGCATTGCCTACAGGATTATCTCTATTTAATAGAATCAGGCAATATTAATTGCAATTCTAACCATGTTGTTGTAGCTGGGTGTTCATTTGCGATGTGGCTGTTTTATTTTGAAGTAAGATGCTTACAGAAGATGGAAAGGTTGAATTCCTTTCTGAGAAAACAAGGTGTGTATTGTAAGTAATGAAATAAGAGCACAATCCCACTTTGCATATCTCTGGAACAAGAGAACTCAGTAACACCCATTCATTTGTGGACTCTGAGAATGATTTCTCCGGGTTATTTATTTACTTAAAATATGTATATGGCCACCCAACTCAAATCAAACCGATCTTGAGCAGCTTACAAGACACATCTAACAAAAGATAAGGAATCAAATATAAAACCACAATACAAAAACCTCCACAATAGTGAAAGAATTGAAACTAATCTGGCTGTGGTGCAGAAAATAGGAGGAGAAAGGAGTACAGATCACCCTCAAGTTACAACCACAATTGAGCCCAACATGTCTGTTGCTAAGTAAGACAGTTTTTAAGTGAATTTTGTCCCATTTTACATCCTGTTTTGCCACAGATGTTAAGTTAATCACTGCAGCTGTTCTTAGTAACATGGTAGGTTCCCCATTGATGTTGTTTTTCAGATCATAAAAAATGTTCCTGGGACTCAGCAACCATCATAAATACATGCCCACTGCCAAGCGTCCAAATTTGGGTCACGTGATCTAGGGACGCTGCAAATGTCGTAAGTGTGGAAAATGGTCATAAGTCACTTTTTTCAGTGCAGTAGTAACTTAACAGTCACTAAAGGAATAGTTGTAAGACAAGGACTACCTGTATTAGGTATGTTTGCCGTCTTCTTGTTTATTAAAAAATTAATAAAGGCTGGATGAAAATTAAACAAATAAATAACTCCCAAACAGCAATAACATAGAGTCGAGGTGCTAACTTTTCCCCAAAGGTCTGGAAAAAGAGCCAAATCTTGACTGCATTTCTGAAGACTAGCAGGACCCAGGTCATTCTATGTAATAGGGGCCACCACTGTCATGCCTCCTGGACCCAGAGGGCTCTGTCCTTCTCAGAGCATGTGGAGCAGGCAACATCCTGGCAAAGAGAAGCCTACCTAACTGGGAACTGGAAACTAAAACGTATGAAGAACAGTTGCAAAAACTGGATATGTCTAGTCTTATGAAAAGGAGGACTAGGGGAAACATGATAGCAGTCTTCCGATATCTCAGGGGCTGCCACAAAGAAGAGGGAGTCAAGCTATTCTCCAAAGCTCTTGAGGGCAGGACAAGAAGCCATGGGTAGAAACTAATCAAGGAGAGACGCAACTTGGAACTAAGGAGAAATTTCCTGACAGAACAATTACCATATTTTTGCACTGTAAGACCAGTGATGGGATTCAAAAAATTTTACTACTGATTCTGAGGGTGTGGCTTGGTGGGTATGGCAGGGGAAGGTTACTGTAAAGTCGCCATTCCCTCCCCACCCTGCTAACCTGCTTTCCAGCTCCATTCTCCTGTGCAGGGCAACCAAAGAAGAGCCAGCCAAACAGCTGGGTCTCGGGAGGCAGATGGGGCGGGGCCAGTCAGAGGTGGGATTTACCGGTTCTTTAAACTACTCAAAATTTCCACTACCGGTTCTCCAGAACTGGTCAGAACCTGCTGAATGCCACTCCTGTATAAGACACTCTGGAACTTAAGATGCTTTTGGGGAGGAAAAAAAAAAATCTGCCTCTGCCTCCCAGCATCCATCTGTATTCATCTGGCTAACATCCTTGCAGCAAACAGCAAACAGCCTGATCAGCTTCACCAGGTTATTGCGGCCTGATTCAGCACAAGCAGCTGATTGGCAGTTGGATCAGCCTCCCAGAATACTGCCGATCAACTGTTCCAGACAGTGGGGATTGCTGCCACTGATTGCAACCACTGCCGATCGCCGCCACCGATTGCCGCCATTTGGCAGCAATAATCGGCAGCGGCGGCAATAGCGGCGATCCCCACCTCCCAGAACAGCTGATCAGTGGTATTCTGGGAAGCCAATCCAACCACCAATCAGCTGTTTGGCTACGAAGGCTCCAGTGTTTCCCAGCAGCGGCAGTGACAGGCGGTGGTGAATGCCACACCCACACCAACCCCCCCCCCCCCCCCAATATTTGCTCCATAAGATGCACAATTTCCACCCATTTGGGGGGGGGGGCGTCAGTGCATCTTATGGAGCAAAAAATATGGTAATCATTGGAACAACTTGCTTCCAGAAGTTGTAATTGCTCCAACACTGGAAGTTTTAAAGAAGAGATTGGATAGCCATTTGTCTGAAGTGGTGTAGCATTTCCTGCCTAAGCAAGGGGTTGGACTAGAAGACCTCCAAGGTCCCTTCCAACTCTGTTATTCTGTTTCTATTTCTATGCCCTGTAAGGGCCTTAAAGGTGGTAATCTTAAATTACACTTGGAGGCTAAAACTGGCAGCTGGTGGAACTCACAGAGTGTGGCGTCATCACAAGAAATGCCCATCATTATCCATGTCTCTGCATTTGGATCCAATAATTGTAGTCCTCATGGACAGCCCTATGTAGAGCATATTGCAGTAAGGGACTAAGGTGATGTGGTGGAATGTAGTCTGGAGTCCCAGAGGGGAGGAGCTGCTTTCCAGAGGGCAAAGAGGCAGCAGAATTTGGGAAGTTTGATTGCAGAAAGAGGGTTAAGCGGCTCCTCACTAGCTTTTCCCAGAGTAATACATAGAATATTAGAGTTGGAAGTTTCTACTCCAACCCCCTGCTCGAGCAGGAGAGCCTATATCATTTCAGACAAATGGTTTTCCAGTCTCTTCTTAAAAGCCTCCACTGATGGAGCACCCACAACTTTTGAAGGCAAACTATTCCATTGGTTGATTGCTCTCACCATTAGAACATTTCTCCTAGGTTGGTTCTCTCCTTGATTAGTTTCCAACCACTGTTTCTTGTCTTGCCTTCTGGTGCTTTGGAAAATACTTTGAGTATAGCTGTAGTTATGTAAATGCTTGCTTTAGTCTGTCAAGATTCTGTCTATAGGTGAAGAAGAATAAAGGAAACATCTCTTAAGCAGCATCCACATGCTGATTCTTCGGACTTGACAGGTGGTGGGTGGACTTGTTTCCTGTTGCTGCAGTTTCAAGCATCCCATTGGTCTCCCACCAGCTGTTTACCCCCAGGGTACCTATTTATCTGGTCTGCAGGTAAGAGAATGATCCGTATGTCTCCATTGCTATCTTATTGCTGAGTAGAATGTTTAAAAGTGTTTAGGTGCTCACTTTCTATGATTTGGGTTCCTTAACAGAAAAAAAACCTGTCCTCTCCAGATATCCAAGGGTCTTGAAACCTTGTCCCTAGAGGGCCATGTGCCTCTTCAAAAAAAACCCTTATTGAGCAGACTATACATAATCGCTGCTGTTGTCAATTTTGGATATGCTAAGCTCCAAAACCATATTTGCAAAGGAGATAAAAGGACATAGAGTGGCGTCTAGCACTATTGATTTCCTTGGTGCTTGCGCTGTTGGAGCTGACAGTGGGCAGTGATCCTATCAGAAATAAAGGAGCCTGCACAAGATCCACTTAGACTCATAGATGCTTCACCATAGAGGTGTTCAACCTTGGCAACATTAAGACTTTGTGAACTTCAACTCACAGAATTCCTCAGCCAGTCATCCTGGCTGGAGAATTCTGGGAGTTGAAGTCCACAAAGTCTTAATGTTGCCAAGTTTGGGGACTTCTGCTGTAGGCCATTAAATCAGTTGACAGAACAATATTCCTAGAAAATTAAAATAATCCAAGCAGAAAACTGCACGCCCACCCCCCAAAAACCACTCTCATACAAATTGACTTGTTAGTTACTCCTTGCTAGCAAAACCCAGACAGAAGATAGCTGGTTGCAGTGCTTTCTTATTTGGAAATTGCTGATTGACAACAGAAAACAAGCTGGCCTGGTTTTTGCTAGTAGGCAAGAAACAAAGATGCTTTCACCGTCACCGAGAATGTTCAGTGATGTCACTGTGCTAGCTCTACCTGAAATGGCTTTACAAGGAGGGGCTTGCAAAGTGATACCAGTTGTGGGACAGGACCATTTGTACAGCCTGCTTGTGGCTATAGAAGTGAGTTTACTATTTCCATGATCATATAGTATGTGATGTTTAAACCCTGCGCACCAGTCGTGCCTACCGTCCCTATCATATTGTTTATTATTTTTCTTATAAGTATCTA